CAGCCGGGACAACGAACGGAAAGGAGAGACAGAGGTCGTGCCGATTTGCGCAGAAGAGATTCGAAAAGATATCGGGAAAAAACGAAGCGTGTTCGATCGATAAAAATAATAAATGAGAATATTCTCGTTGTAATCGTGAAAAAGAATTCTGTAAAAGTTAATACTCGGTGTGAGTTTATCGATTTTACAACCTTGAAAATTTAATAGTTTAAGATTGTTTGAGAAATGGATAATAAATTAACGTTAAATTATCGAAATCATTCTCATGATCTCATTTCACCGTCTTGTCGAAGATTCACGTGATACAACAGAATACTTCCTTCTTTCGCCTTTTAAATGCCAAGTATCGTATCGACCTGCCCTGAAGCGGCATAGAGCGTCAAAAGTAGCGATTTAGAAGTCGTGGTCCAAGCAATTACCAATTACGTAGAGATATCCGACCGCGCCAAGATCAAATTTGCAGTGTGTCCGGTCGCACGGTATCGTCCAAGCTTCTTCTCTGTCTATTAAGAGAGCCGACGCGACGAGGACGAAACGCGTATATTTTTCGAGACCCTTCTATCTAATAGTCTCTCTCTATTATTACAGTCGTGTCTAAAGATCTATCTAGATTGATTTAGATTTGAAATGGGAGAAAAGAAACGTCGTCGTTGATCCGATCAATTTTCTTTTTTCAAGATATCATAACGATATACCGCTGAAAATTTCACAGGATTGAACTATTACAGAAACGTGGGATTAATCCAAGGTCGTCTACCAGTCGGAGCAAAAAGAGGAAGTCCTTAAAAGTAGAAGAATCCTAAACCGATGATTGTCGCTTGGGATTTCACAATTTCTCGTACGTCTTTCCAAGAAATCTGTCTGATAAAACGAACGAAAGGAAAAAAAAAAACGGGGGGAAAAAAAACAGAAAAGAAACTCATGCCGTGTCTCTGAGACGCAAATATTTTCTACCAAAAATAATAGAAAATAAGTAAGAAATCTCTAGAAAATTCAATGGATCATTCTTGATTTAAAAGAACAACGAATTTTCACTATATTTATATAGTTATTTGCTATAATTGTTATGGGGAAAAATGTTCCTTCTGTTTGAGAGGAAGGAAAAGGTTCAATCAAGATGAAGACGCATTTACGATGGGTACCCACCGACACACAGTTATACGCATATATATATATATATATATATATATATATATATATATATACAGCAGAAAAAGAGAGAAGGAGGAAGGAGGGGGAGAGGAAGAACTTTCAAGAGGCCGAAATAGCAACTTCCAAGAGACATAGACAGTAAAGTAATCAAGTTACGAGACGTACGTGCCTACGTCACGTGCGCGTTAAGAGCCACAACACACGTGCGTTGTCCCCGTGGAGTACTCAGTCTCTCCCTCTCCCTCTCCCTCTCCCCCACTACTACGGTCTGTTTCTCTCCCACCCTCTACCTCGATCTCTGTCTCTGTCTCTCTCTCGGTCTATCTCCCTCTCTCTCTCTTTCCCTTTCCCTATCCACCTCCCTCGGTCTGTCTGTCTCTGTCTTAGTCTCTCTCTCTTTCTGTTCCTGACTCGGTCTCTGACTCTGACTCTGACTCTGTCTGTCTCTGTCTCTGTCTCTCTCTGTCTATCTTCCTTCCTCTTCCTCGATCTTTGTCACGGTCTGTCTCACTCCTCTCCTCTCTCTCTCCCTCGGGCCCAGTCTCGGTCTCTGTCTTTCTTCCTCCCTCTACCTCGGTCTCTGGCTCACTCCCGCCCCTCTCCTTCGGTCTTGATCTCGGTCTCGGTCTCTATCTCTGTCTCTGTCTCTGTCTCTGTATCTGTCTCGGTCTCGATTTCTGTTTCAGTCTCGGTCTCGGTCTCGGTCTCTGTCTCTTTATCTCTCTTTCTTTCCCATTCTTTCGCATATTCTCTTTCTCCCCACCCCTAACTCCATCTCACTCACGCTTTAGCATACGTGATCGTCAAGTATACCTAGAGGATGGTCTGCATCGCTATTGTTATCGTACTTATTCTTTTTCAAAAAAATCTCACAATCATTGTTTCGTTTTGTTATCTCGAAAAAAGAAACGTCAATAAGACTTCGATTTCCCGAAGAGTGAATAAATAAATAATAATGTAAAGACCATCTTTTTTCATTCAATATCCATTACGTAAAAATAAATAAATCGATTCCAAATATGTACGGTTTTTTCTCTCTATCTTTATCTTCTTTTTAATAATGTTTTATATCTTATTACTTGCATTGGAAGTGTCCCAGTATTAAATGATAAAATGGAATCGCATAAAAATGATTGCAATGACAGCCTAATAATAAACGATTGATAATCGTAATGTGAATGTGACTTAATATACAAAACATACGCAGCACATATTATATACATTTGTATTGAAAAACAAGAGCGTGTCAACATGTGATGCAATAGATAATACTGTATCATGATTTTTCTCTAGAATGTTACAATCTACGTTATATTCGTTTTCCATGGTACACGAGGATCAGATCAGATCGGGGATTTCACAAATTAGTTATTTCAAAAGTGAAAGAATCTAAAATTTTCTGAGATTGACGATTGTCTCTTAAAGGTATTCACAGAAATCTATAGTCTAGAAGTTGCAATTGATGATGATAATCATGAACACTCGTAACGTTGAATTATCTTTCCTAGTTTGCGATTATAAAATAAGATTCTAATCAAAGATAGCTATCGACGTCTAAGAAAACTGTAAATATACTTGATTTTCTTTTAAGATATACGTACTTACATATGTATATATGTATGTGTCATACGTCTGTATATATCCTCGAATACTATCATACTACATATATTATAGGGCAGCGTTTCTCAATCTTTTTGCCGTACGGCCAAATACATTTGTTTGTAACAATACCGTGACTCAAATGTTTACAATATACAATTTCTAAGAATTTGATAATAACTGGAGTCATTGTATATTATTTAAAAAATATGACTGTTACTTCGGTATTCTCGCAAAGTCACAAAAACATACTACAAAAAATCTCTAACAAATCAATTACATTACTCGGTTTAGATTTAAGGCACAGGGTACCATATCACGGATCCATTAACAATTTAACACAGTACGATATTAGGCTGTAAATTATAGGTTGAGAAACACTGTTACAGATTGTGTCTGTAAAATATATTCGCAGAGAATAATTTCTTTGATAATTTGACAGAGAGTTAATCATCGTTACTCTTTGTATAGAAAATATAAGGAAAAAAAAAGAAGAAAAAAGAAAAAAAGAAGAAAAAAGAAAAAAAGAAGACGAATTCGTTTGTGATAGATTCGAAAAAAAAATCGAATAAAGATTTCAATGTAAAACGAATGTATATTAATCGTATGTGTATTGTTACATGCATACATCAATTGTTTCCGATAACGAGGATAAGGAAAAAAAAAATCGACGTAACGTTTAACAATATTTTTAAATTTAGAAAAAAATTTTTTAGTTGGGATGTATCGGACATAGTAAATAACTAGGGAAGTTTCGATCGGTGACAAAATAAAAGGGCTAAAGAAGAAAAGTTATGGTAATATCTGGCTGTCCCAAAGGGGGAATTCTCCCTTTTCCTTCTGGACTATGGCTGGATGTGATTACTATGCATTAACTAAAAATCAACGAACATATACGTATATATTGTTCAATTCAAATTTCCCGCCAAATGTATTTTTATTCCCGTACTATGATGTGTACCACAATTACAAGAATCTTATTCCAATTTACATTAATATTTCGAGAGATACCTTATACGTGTTAAATAAAACGCGCCTTTATCAGTAAAAGTTTTCCCTTCTCGTCGAGTAATTTGAAGTTTCTGCGATAAAACTTAATAGGTAAAAGAAATCGTAGTTCTCTTATCTTGTTACTTTCCATTATTTACTTTAACACTGTTTTACGCGTCTTCAATCGCATTAAACCTTCAGCCATACAATATTGTGTATGTATATATATATATATATATATATATATATATATATAATATATATATATCATTTAACCGCACATAGTTTGCTCAAAGTAAAATCATTTTTACTTTGAGATGAAATACGATCGTATGAAAATGTTTTATTTTAACAAGGCCATTATTATGTCAAATAAGAATAGTCATTTTTATGGAGAGAGAAAAAAAAGAAAAAAAAAAAAAAAGAAAAACAAAAAAAAGAAAGAAAAAGAAACAGCAAAAGAAAAATGATAATTCGTATGACTTTTTAATGATCGAATTATCGAAAACAAGTGATGACAGATTTGAAGAGAAAAAATAAAAAAAAAAAGAAAGCGCGATTGTTTCTTTTCAGTCAAAAAAGAAAAAAAAAAAAAGAAAAGAAAAACAAGAAATAGAGATAAAGAGATGAGAGAGATGAAAGAGAGAAAGAGAAACAGAGATCCAACGAATTAATTTCACGACGGTACGAAATTCTCACGGGATCTGTCTCGTAATAAATAACTTGCCCGAGGACATTAGTGTACCGACCTCCGGCTCTCTCTCTCTCTCTTTCTATCTTTCTATCTGTCTCTCTCCTCTTCAAAACGGGTTTCCTCCTTCGGCTGAACGTTGCTCGTGCTTCAACGATGACGAATAACCTCGCGGAATTAGCATACTCATGCGGGTACCGAATTCGAGAGGTACGCGCGATATTTTACCATCGATCCCCTCGAATTACGAGCGACCTTGGAATTCCTCGTGAAACACGACTTTTTATAATCGATAACCCAAGAACGTGCCGATAGTTTGACTTGACTCTCATCCAATTAAATTAACGAAACTTATCAAAGATAATGATAGAAAATTTAGATGTAGAAAGTATATAAGAATTTGTCCTTCATAAGATAAAGAACGAATCTTCAATTGTAATATCATTTTTATATATACCCATACGCTTCTTAATAATATTATTGAAAATATGAAAAACATTGTTTATCTATAGATAAAAGTCAATCAATAATACAGTATGTCCTATTAATAGATGAAAAAGTAACTTACCGGATTCTGAAGGTGTCTGAACGCCAAGATTCTCGAGCCTCTTATAAGCGGGATGATTAAGATGATAGCAATGATCGCTAAGGGTATTTCTCAAGTTCGGTTGTTGATTGTTTTCTTCCTCTTTCCTTCTGTCATAAAATCGTCTGACAAGCTGACCCGTAACTTCGCTTACCGGCGCCGCCCTAATGATCGATTCGGACATACATTCCGATAGCTTCTCGTGTATATTGATCTGATCATGTCTAAAGACAGGAACTTCGTCGTCTGTATCTGTATCAGACGTCGATGTTGGTGGTGTGTCTGGTCTTGTGGAATCTCCATCACTTTCTAAACTCTTCACACGACATTTCTGAGATTGTGATGATTGTTGTTGTTGTTGTTGCTGTTGTTGCTGTTGTTGTTGCTGCTGCTGCTGTTGTTGTTGTTGCAGCAATTGTTGTTGTTGCTGTTGTAACGCTTGATGTTGTTGCTGAGCATTCATCAAGGAACGTGCTGATGTACTAGCACGTGATATTAGCAAACTCCTACCAGCTGGTATTTTCTTTTGCAACTGAGAATCTTTTTTAGCAGGCAAGGTTCTATTGTGTTCTTTGCTGATACACAACCCGGCCCACATACAATCATGATGACGAATCTCACGAGATGCCATACACGTAACTTTGTCATAGATAAGCTCAGGAAGAACGGTCTCGTCATACGATCGGTTGGAATAGATATCCAATGGGAAGTCCAAATCGAACTTCTTCCAGATATCCTCCGAAACGACGCTTGCTGTTTCCAGGGCTTCGTCCATAGGGCCCAGTTCCGGGCAATCCCATACAGGCACTGGCATATTACCTATGTTAAAAACAAAAAAAAAAAAAAACGTGAATCAATTTTAATCAATTATTTCTATTCTTTTTTTATTACTACAAAAATATCGTTAAATTCAATCGATAGAACGTAACAATGTAACATTGATTTGAATTATCTATATTATGAATTATATCATATAAAATTATTCATTAATCTAACAGTTCATCGATGATCAGCTCTATCTTCCTTTTTAATCGAAATATGAATTAATCAAGATTAGAAAGTATCGATCGTATTTTATTTTTTTATTTGTCGCAATATTACGTGAAATATAACGTGAAAGAATGTTTGGCGGTTAACTTTACGACACGTGCCGCAATACATTGATGTATTATCGCGAAGATCAACGGTGAGACATGTGAATGGAGGCCGCGTATTAACCTTGCATATTAGCGGTAAAATTAGACGACCTTCCACGTGGACGAACGCTCAATAGACCGGTCGACGTATATACGTATAATATCTATGTATGTACATATAAAATACTGCGGCATGCATGCATGCATGCATGCATGCATCCATCCATACATACATACATACATAGACATATGCACGTAAATTGCATATAACTAGCTTTTTTCCTTCCGTCATGAATTCTAAGAAAAAATGTACATGGCGCCAGGAAAATGTCACGCATTTGAAAAAAAATGAATAGAAACAAGTGAATTCTTATTATTCTTTCGTAACAATTGATCAACAAGTATGATGGATTTTATGATAGTTAAATATTTACATTTGATCAGATATCCTCGAATAAAATTTTCGTTCGCTATATTAAAATAAGCTTCGTTCAACAATCTCGAGTATTGAACATTGTCTAAACGTTCTTGTTCTTTCTCTCCCCCCCCCCCCACCGCTTCTTTTTAACGAATAATGAGAACGACGATATAAATATAAATATAATGATCCTAAAGAAGGTGGAAAAGCCATATATCGCGCGAACGTAAGGAAATGAAAGGGGATCGCTATTTATTTTAAAACTCCATTCTTCCTCGTGCCAGAGTAATCCGGTTTCCGATTTCAAAAAGGCAAGAAAATAACAATTCTTTTAGAGTCCTCTTCACTTTTTTCTCCGCCCTGCCCCCCCCACTCCACAACCCCTGTCCTGAATAATAAATTCGACAAAAAGAAAGAATCGACGGTCGCAACAAATATTACGAGTATTTCAAAAGAAAGGAGAAAGAAAAAAAAGGAAAGAGAAAAAAAAGTGAAAGAGAAAAAGAAGTGAAAAAGAAAAAAAAGAAAGCAATAGAAAGGAAAGGAAAGGAAAGAAAAGAAAAGAAAAGAAAAGAAAAGAAAAGAGAAGAGAGAGAGAGAGATAGAGAAAAAGGAACTAGGGAGAATATTGGAAGAACTGAAAGCTTTAAGAAAAATTCGCGGAAAATCATTGTCAATGGTGGTGTTCTTTACTATCTCCTTATTTCGACTCCTGGAATTTCAATGGTTCAAATGGCTTTTGCACGCGTAAGAGAAGCCGTTCAGTTGGAAATAGAGCATATAGAGTTATAAGCGTACCGGTAAGGAGCTTATCAGTATGAGTCACGATCAATGAAGAAATTTCATGAGATCTCGATCGTTTCGTCGATTGCAATGTTTACGAGAGAAAGGGTGGGAAGGGGGGGGGGGAGAGAGAGAGAGAGAGAGAGAGAGAGAGAAAGAGAGAGAGAAATAAAGAGAAAGAAAGAAAAAGAAAGAGAAAAGTCAGAGAAAATGAGAAATAAAAAAAATAAAAAAGATGAAAGAACAGACGATGAGAGTGAAAAAGGAAGCAAATCGAAAGAACTTTTATGGCACGACAATAATAAGTTCAACTCTGACTTATTCGCCATACTATCATCCCCTCCCTCTTCTCTTTCATCTTTCGTTCATTTCATCCCCTCCTGTTTTTTTTCTTAGCGTCGGACAGCAGATTCGGCGCGAACATGCTCGGATGGGTGACTAGCAGACGCGCGCGCGCGCGCGGACCTTGGACCCTCACAGTGAGGAAACGCCCTCCTTATCGAATCTCGCGCGAGACATCTACCGCTGACATCCAGGAGGATGATGACTCAAATCGAGCGAACGAGACAAACTGACATTTATTTTAACAACCATGTAACAACATTAGAAAAGGAGATTAGAAAAAAGAAAAAAAAAAAAAACTATCAGCACTCTTCGATCCATCTTCTCCCTCTTCTTATCTTAACCACCTCCCATCAAATCTCTCGCTCCAACCCCACAATCTTACTACCTTTGTGTCAAAATATATCTTATCTCGGCCGATTGTTTTTCTATATGAAACTTCCGTTTCTTTCAATCTCTCTTTCTCTCTCTTCTTTTTTTCTCACTCTCTCTCTCTCTTTCTCACACACACACACACACACACTCTCTAGACACTTTGTTTTTCTCCTAACCTTTTTCGTCTTTCGCATTGTTTTCGTGGCAATCCTAAACACGATGAGAGAATGTGTTGTCTTGTTTTTTTTCTTTTCTCTTTTTTTTTTTTTTTTTTTTTTTCTTTGTTTGTACACGCTGACTCTTAGGAACAGTATCTTATTTACATCAAAAACTTATCTGTGAAGAGAGCGCGGAGAGGAAGAGAAAAGAAAAGAGAGAAAAGAGAAGAGAAGAGAGGATATGAGAGAAGAAAGGAGGAGAGTAATATAAGAGGTGAAACCTTGAAAGAAATTTAAATGAAATTCGAATCACAGATTTCTCGTATTTCGTTTGGTATCGGTTGATTCAATCAATGATACGATTTTTATCGAATGAGAAGGGAAATAAAGAGAGAAAGAAAACGAAGAAAGATGAGGAGGATCGATGATTGTGAAGAGGAAATCTCTGCTCATGAAACCAAGCCACTTTATGACGCGATCGTTCGTGAAAAAAACTTTCCTAGATGAAAAACAATACACGCTCTTTCGCGCGCGTCTTCCTCCCCCAACCCTCCCTTTCCGTACCCTTCTCTTCTCTACCCATTCCTTCCCTTTCCAACGCCTTTGTCAACCCTTCTACTCTAACGCTTTCTCTTTTCCACCCTCCCCTCACCCAGGGAGATCACCAAGTGAAACATAGCCGAACAAAAGGGAATCGGTAGTAATGGTAATGACCATCGTGAAGCGCGGCCTTGAACACGAAAGAAAGCAAACGCGCGTACCTTTTTTTTTTTTCCTTCTCGCCTTCAGGCCAACCAAAGGAAAACAAGGAAAGAACGAAGATCTGCTTGCTAGTTCCTAGGTGCGTTGTCTTCGAAACGACCTGTTACTACCTCTATATATTTACTATATATTACTACCAAACGAGTAGTAGGATAAAAGAAGAGGAGAAACATGAAAAAGATATTCTGCCATTTAGTCTTATACGATATATACGCGATCTAAAGTATTTTGAAGAACAAAGAGTACGTAAATAGCGATAGTTTTTGCGATGTTTACTCGAAAAAAAAAAAAAAGAAAAAAAAGAAAGAGAAAGAAAGAAGAAGAAGCAGTTTTTAGCGAAACTTCTTACGTAGTGTGTATATATATATATATACATATATATACATATAAATAAATATATATGTAGGTAAACATTGGAATGTTCAAAAAAAAAAAAAAAAGCTAATAATATAAAAGGAAAAAAAAAGGGGGAAAAAATTTCCAACAATTTTTTGTTCATCGATCCAATTACTACACGAGGAGAAATAAGGAGTCTTACATGATCAAAATATTTTCTTGAAGATCTAATAATAGAATTGTCAATTTGATTAAAGAAAATGAAAAAGAAAAAAAAAAAAGAAAAGAAAAGTGAGAAAACAATGGAAAGAGAAGACAAAGAAAATTGCAGCTTGCCAACGAAATTAGAAAATAGAAATAATAATAAAATGTCATTACTATGAAAGGAAAAGTTTCATGGGAATCGATACTTGCGTTCGAATGCCAAATGATAAAGAGATATTTATTCGATTGAAAATTCGAAAAAAGCGTGCGGCTATTATTTTGAACTTTACTTTTATTGAAAATTACTTGTAATAAAATACCGCGTAGTTTTGTTTTCAAACTGACGTTGCGATCGATGGATCGAACTTTTTTTTTTTTTTTTTTTATATATATTTACACAAAGCGTCAGTACGAATAAAAAAAACCGGTACTCAGTCCGGAGTTTAGAGATCGAACACGTCTTTCCTTCACGGGCATACTTCTGTCGAATATTATCTTTATAACAAGCCAGCTCTTTTTTTTTTTTTTTTTTTTTACTAAATGGTAATTAACTCACAGAACACATCGCGAATGGAATGGATAAACTTCTGATTCAGGAAGAATTTTTAAGAAGAAAAAGAGAAGATGTAAGGGGAGAGGAGAAAAATTCTAAAAGAAAGAAAAAGAAAGATCTAATACACTCACCAAAAATCACATCGTCCCCCATATTCAAAATGAAAGTTCAATGAACAAAACAAAATGAATGAGCAAGTAACTTGAACGAAAAACTTAAACATCAGAATTCACTTCGAGAGAATATTTTTATACACCACCGTTCGGTCTAACAGTTGGCGGGAAAACTGAAGGATGCTCGGAAACATTGTAAAAGCGAAGGGCCCTTTGCAGAATCAGGTAAAAAGGAAAATGGTAGGGATGGGGGTGCAAACGATGGGAATTCCAGGCCCGCACGAGGCGTGGCCTTGTATTGAAGGGTGCAGAAGCGAGTGAATCGTACCTCCTCTCTCCTCCGCTCCCTACCGCCCTCACTTTTCCTCTCCCACTCCCTCTTCCTTTCTCTCTCTTTCTCCCTCTCTCCTTTCTTTTCCTAAAACGCGCGCACGAAAGAGATGCTTATCTCGCAGTCGACGATTAAAAATCGCGACGACGATAGAAGCGCGGCGCCAACAACGACGATTCATGTCTCTAATTCGAAAAACGCGTACTTGTAATCGTCGACTCGACGAATGCGTGATTCAGCAAAAGAGTCTATTTATTACCCATACCGAGGAGGTGCAAGGGGAGAAGTTTAGAACGATATTGTAAAGACAAAGCTCAAGGCAAGTTTCCCCGTTACCGCGAAATCGATATATACATCGTACTTATATACACTTTACATTCAAACATCACACACATACAGATAACACAATATGATCATACGATATCGATTTTAAGATCCGAGCTTTTTTCTCGCCAAGGCTCTTCATTCATTTTCTCTTTTTTGAGATTTATATATATATATATATATATATATATATATATATATATAAATGTTTTAAGTTTAGAGTGAATGTTTTAAGTTTAGAGTAAAATAAATGAAAAAAGAAAGAAAAAAATATATATATGTATATAAAATGTTCAAAGAAATTAAAATTTAAATAAATACAATATATGTGTGTGTGTGTGTGTGTGTATGTGTGTATGAATTTTAAATGATATTGAAAATGACAGATTAAAGATAGCTCGAATATTCTCGATCGTTTTTGAAAATTTGCAGAATAATAACATCACTGACTTGCAGAATAATAACACTTTTAAAGTACGTTACATATACATATGCAAATATATTTATCACGTATAACATGCACGCCGCGTGAAATTAAGTAAAAACGTGGGCGGCCGGCGAGAGTCGCGCTTTTTCGCCTGTGTTTAAATATTCACAGTTTTCGAATGATCCATAACCTACGCAATTTTCATCATATATATATATATTATACATATATATATATATATATATATATATATATCACACGTACGTAAATACATAAGTATATCGGATAATTAAACAAATGATCAAGAGAGATTAAACCTTCAGCATATCGATTCGTTACCTACATCTTCCTATCTCTTTCTCTCTTTCTTTCTCTCTCTTTCTCATCAATGACATTACAGAGAGACAAGAAGAGTCAAAGATAAATGAACAACGAAAGGAAAAGTAACGAGGTGCCAAGAGTAAAGAGCGAGAGAGTAAGAGAGAGGGGGAGGGAGGGAGGGAGGGAGAGAGAGAGAGAGAGAGATAAACGAAGAGGTGAAGTAAACAAAAAAGGAACGTGTGTAAGATAGACAAAGACAGATATAAGAGATATGGACGAATTCGACACGTGAACTTTAGCCGGTCCCACTTTCTCTCTCTTTCTTTCTCTCTTTATTCTTTCCCATAAAGAAGAACGCGTAAACATCCAAACGAGTATAAACTGATCACTAATGATTGTTCTATTATAAATAAAACTTATAATAGTATGTAAGAAGAAATAAAGATGACAATAAAAAGAAGATAATAATAAAGTAACGATCTCTTCTAGATAATATATATTAATACAATACAATATAATATAGTATAGTATAGTAGAGTATAGTATAGTATAGTATAGTATATAGTATAGTAGTCATGTCTCGGAGGGCGCGGTATGTTCACGTACCTGACAGCCACCACTTCGTGTCGTAATCCAAATGCGAGATAGTAGTAGTATCCACTGTGGAACGCACTTTGGCGCGAGTTCGAATCTCGCGGTTTTAGGACAAGTGAGAAAGAGAGAGACGGATAATACCGTAGTATAGTAGTAATACCGATTCGAGGAGAGATTCGAAAATGAACGATGGAATTAACGATTGATTTCCCCTCTTCCGAACGTTCGCCGGCGTGAGAATTATTATTTTTCTCTTTTGATCACTCTCTCTTTCTCTTTCACACGCACTGTTTCTCTCAATAAAACGCGTTGGTTGTCTTGCGTTTCTCTTCGATAAAAAGAGAGACAGACAGACAGACAGACAGACAAATAGAGAGAGAGAGAAAGAGAGGAAGAGAGAGAGAAAGAGAGGAGGAGGTAGAGGTAGAAAGAGAGAGAGAGAGAGAGAGAGAGAGAGAGAGAGAGAGAGAGAGAGAGAGAAATAAAGAAAGAAAGAAAATCAGCTTACAAGGGTGTCCCTTCTTCTCAAGCGTCGTAGCAGCTTATGCTGCTATCGTTCCGCCACAAACGCCCTTGTCGTTTTCTTTTAGAATCAAGATAATTGTTTCGAATAAATTTTATAGAACATCTACTACCGCTGCCTTCTTCAACCAGGCAGAGGAAGAATTTCATTCTTAGATTGATCCTGTACAAAACTTTCTAAGGTGGTAAACCTTTTTTTTTTATCTTCCTCTTCTCAATTTTTCTTTCTTATCTTTTCTTTTCTTTTCTTTTCTCTTTCCTTTTCTTTTTCTATTATTTTCCCTTTTCTTTCCTTTCCTTTCCTTTCCCTTCCTTTTCTTTTCTTTTCGTTTCCTTTCCCTTTCCTATTATATTTTATTTACTTGTCGTCCCTCTTTGTACGTTTTACAGTATCATCGGCCTCTCTCGCTCTACGTTATAGCTCTCGAAGGGAGTCGTACGTACGCGCACGCCGATCTGCAACGATCCGATCCTCTCGGTAAGGCCGGTAAAAGGCGACTGAACTGTGCGGTCCCGTGCGCTTTCCTTCCATCTTCCGCGGCTATGTCCACCGCTACGGGACCGGGCGCCAGGATCGTATCATTCGAATTAATCACCCAGCTCTTATCTTCTGATATCGAATTTATCGTAATAATAATACCATTTATTTTTTTCTTTTTCTTTTCAATTATTTAAACATCCAATATATAATATACATTCAAACGTACGATCATTATTTAATGATCGTAAAATTGAACATTGAAGATATTTATTATATTTTCAGATCGTTGATATTTAGCTCGTTCGAAGAAACTCGAATATCGAAGCGACATCCTTTTCGAGAAAGGCATTCGTCCTCTGGAATATGTTATGGTTTGATGTACACCGTCTCACGTAAGTTTGTCATGGGAGAAACGTGGAGGCCACATGTGGTGCGAGCTTGCGGTTAGCAACCTGTCGGAACCTGTACGGATTTAATGCTTGCGAGTATGTAGACGTGTTATGCCTTACCCTCCTCCTATCATCATGCTCCCACAACGTCTATACTCCTTGATCGCGTTTATCCGGATAAATTTACACGTCGATAACTTCGTACGCCTCCTACTTTAACCTCTCTCTCTCTCTCTCTCTCTCTCTCTCTGTTTCTTCCTCTTTCTTTCTCTCTCTACCAAACGCGCGGACCTTTCAATTCTCAAACGAGAGACGCGGAGTCTATAGTTTTTGTAATAAACGCGGGTTACTTGGAAGCCGTTCACACTTTGTATATAACCCTTTGAGTTTTTAATTAAAATCTTGCGATAGTCTCGACTAGGGCAATCGCGTAGACTCTTTGACTTTATTCACTTCGAAACCATAGCGGCAAAAAGATTAGGCGATATTATCAATATATCGATAAAATGGATCTGTGTGCCTATATAAATGTATATATATATATATATATGTAAATATATGCATATATAGTAAACGCGTGCTAGCCTCGATCGATCAAAAACGTGCCATCCCGCGGAGGAGAGAGCTTAGCGGAGCAGAATCTTCGTCGAAGGAGACACGCTAAACGCGTTAGCAGATACTAGACTCTAAGCATCGATTCGTCGCACGTCAATGACCGACTCTACTCGTCGTCGGTCGAGTGACGCTAGGAGGGTTGCTTGGATGCCTCGACTTCTATCGAATCATTGCGACGTAGACGATGGGCACATCATGATTGTGAAAGAAATTTATTTGATATATTAATTAAATATTTTGACTGTAAAAAATGAAAGAAGAACTTGTTAAAAAGTGAAGAAGTTGAAGAAATTTATATCTATACATTTATCTATACGATATCGAGCATCGTCATTATCGTAAGATCATTTGCATGCACGCGCAACAAAATGAGTTATCATTTTTTTTTCACAAACGTATGCGCGCGAACGGTTTAGCCCTTGACACATAACATTGTGCAATCCGAGTCGACGAGGAAAGCGCGCTTGAGATAGCCTCCCGTTATGTCACTTCCACTGCCTTCTAATCTATATATATATATATATGTCTGTGTGTGTGTGTATGTGTGTATGTTTGAATATATATGAAATATCTTTTCAATATTTCGTTGAGGAAATCAGGTCTACGTACTATTAAATGTAAGAAAAAAAAATGTCAACGTGTAAAAAGTACGTTTACGAATATATTTATCTAGATACTTACTCGTTCATGTATTTTTCGAATCTTGAGGATTAATATATATAATAAATGAAGATATTTTGATGTTAGGAAGATTAAATGATGATTTAAATTCTTCAAAGATGAAACACTGTGAGTACATAACGTATAACCGAGCGACATTCCATGTCCGTTTCTAATATGTCAGGTGTCCGCCGTACCTTCAGCGTGTTGCAGTCGATGTTGTAATATTGCGAATCGCGCATATACCATCCTTCTCTTAACGACTACTCGACTATTATATGGCCTCCGTAATGTATAGAGAAATGCATGTATTCTATTCTATCTAAAATTATATAAATATATATATATATATATATATATATATATATATATATATATATATATATATAATACACATAGATAATATATATAAATTAAAAATAATATATAAAATAATTATATAAAAAATAAAAAATTGTTATACAACGTATATATAAAATTACTTATATATATATATATATATATATATATATATATATATATAAATACAAATATATTAAATATATTTTGTCATTAAATGAATAAAACAGATCGATAGATTATGATTTTATCGTTTTATTATTAAAACGTATAAATTTTGTTATTGAAGAAAAAATTTTCTTTTAAATAAATAAATTTACGAAGATACTCTATCATTCAAATTGCATAGTACGGCCCTGTATATGCCGCGTGGGGGGCCGCGCCCGCCAGGGCTCTCTTCCATAATGTTCAATTTTTTACAAAAATTATGTTAACACGATGGAAAAATTCATGTTCGTTTATTCGTGGGAGCTTGCAGGAGATCGTATTAAGTAATATCGGCGAGTGTCTTAATGTACTTCGAGAGATTTTTCGTGTCCATTTGTTGCACGGGACTACTTTCTGGCGTGGCCTACTAGAAAGTGCGCACTGCGGTCCGACGCGGTACTTGCGCATCGAAGCGACGGGTTCGAGCGACGCGCGAAAGAGGCGCCACTGAACAATTGACGAGTGTATTCGACGCCCACGAGAAAGCTGACTACGGAATGTTGCGAAATCGTATCTCCTACGCGTTCATTCTCACATGGAATGATATTTTCTTTTTCTTTTTCTTTTTCTTTTTCTTTTTTTTCCTTTCTTTTTTTTTTTTCTTTTTTCTTCTTCTTTCATATTTCTTTCTCCTTTTTTTGTTTCTCGATAATTTTTATGATACATTCGAAAGTTCAAATAAATCTTACGCTGTCATTTAAACACCATTGCGTTTTTGTTATTCGTTATATTTAAATAATAATTTATTAAAGCTTCTAAGATACAATATAATTTGATAAAAATTTGAAAAATATTTATGACTGATAATAAAACACAATATAAAGCCATGACAGATTTTATTTCTTTAACTCGGCCCAAAAGAATTTGCTGATTATTTTTTTTAAGTATTTTTACGTCGTTAGACCTTTTTTATCTTAAGAATATATAATGCCTTGTAACAATTGGAAATGACCTGTCCTAACTGTTTTGTTAAATTCAATAGGATATTGTTTAAATTACTATGAGTCATAGCTTATTGTTTGTATCCCTAGACCCTTAGTTGACTGATCTTTTACCTGTTTTGTCAGTAAATATCTTGAATAACACGTAGGAATTCGATAAAAATTGTTGTTTAATTTTTCGATAGTTTCTACAAAAATCAAGGAAGAAAAATAATGATGTATTATCTATTAATGACAATCGGAATAATTCACCGTTGGTCGGGGAAAAAGATTGATGTTCTCGATACTTTACACGACTTGCGAACTATATATTTCTGTATGCAGAAACGAATGTCACAGGCTAAATTATGAATTTATTATGTAAATATTTCTTTGCATATTATCAATGATAATAAATAACCAAGTTGAAAATATAAAGACAATACGGACAGTTATACTTCTTTTTGGAGCTACTCGTGCAATCGAAGCTCGCTTGTATCTTGTAGACCATTAGGTTAGTTATGCATAGATAGTAGATATCACGTTGAAAAAAAAGTCCGTAGTATAGCATTGTGAGCCCGAGAAGAGGAAAAAAAAGGGGACTACTACGGAGGTCGATAAGCAGCTAGAGGTCAAATAGAACGTTCAACGGTTGATCTTTCGATCTGTTACTTGTGGTGAAAGTTATATGTAATTTTCCAAGGGTTTATTTCATGTCGTAAGAAAAAGACAAAATTTTTCTACATTTGTCTAAATTACAAGAAAAATAAAAGAAAAAGAAAAAAAAAAAAATAAAAAAGATAAAAAAAAATCAATAAATAAATCGTAATAAAATTTGTTATAAAGATTCGATCGAAACATAATCTAAAACAAAAAAAATCTAACATAGGAACGAATAGTTCGTATTAGAATAATTTTTGTCAGAATCTCGACGAAATTTTCGTCCTATCATTTCATCATTAAACTTGACCAAGTATGAAATATTGATATGACGATAACAATGTAATACGATAATAATGGATACGACGATAATAATGTAAATCGAGCGTGGATGAAATTTGCTTTTTTATTCTTGAAAAATCCTGACGATTTACAATTACCGAAAAAAAAACCAACTAAATCCTGAGCTCAAATCTTTTGCCCGTGGAATGGTAAAGGACAGTGAGAGAGAGAGAGAGAGAGAGAGAAAGAGAAAGAGAAGGAGAAAAAGAGAAAGAAAGAGAGAGAGAAAGAAAGAGAGAAAGAAAGAGAGAAAGAGAGAGACGAGTTACGGCGGTAAACTTACGAGAAGTCGGAGGAAAACTTGCGGAGGCAGATCACCCCTGACAGTTCACACTCGGCTAGCTCGTTCGGAAGCACCGCGCGGCGCATTCTGGTCCTAAAAAGTCAGTTTGAAACTTGATAGCGCTGGAGATCGATCCAGTTTCAAAGGTCGCAAAACGGTTGTCCCCTTCCCAACAAGCATTCACGAATCTTTTATCGCTAATCTCCCATAAATCTGACTTTTAGAAAGAAAGTTACATACGACGATAATTTTTCGACGTTTTTCACCAGTAAAACGTTGCCGTTGTTTCATGAAAATCAGCTGAAATACGAAACACGGATATCGAGGTACGGATAAGAGTATAATTTCGAACGCATCAAATGATTTGATTTACATCAAAGGACTCAATTAAATCCAACTGTCGACATGACAGAAATCAGAGTCATTGGATTAATGTTAACTTAGTTAACTTACAGTTTTTTTTT